ACAAGCAAAAGAATGAAGTTGGACCCCTCCTTCACACCATACCCAAAAATTAATTCAAAAGGGCTAATATCCAAGATGTATAAAGAACTCCTCAAACTCAACACACACAAAACAGATAATCACGTCAAAAAATGGGCAGAAGACATGAACAGACACTTCTCCAATGAAGACATACAAACGGCTAACAGACACATGAAAAAATGTGCATCATCACTAGCCATCAGGAGAGTCAAATCAAAACCACATTGAGATACCACCTTACATCAGTTAGAATAGCCAAAATTAACAAGACCGTGAACAATGTGCGTTGGAGAGGATGTGGAGAAAGGGGAACCCTCTTCCACTGTTGGTGGGAATGCAAGTTCGTGCAGCCACTTTGGAAAACAGTGTGAAGATTCCTTAAGAAATTAAAAATAGAGCTTCCCTATGACCCTGCAATTGCACTACTGGGTATTTACCCCAAAGATACAGATGCAGTGAACAGAAGGGCCATCTGCACCCCAATGTTCATAGCAGCAATGGCCACAGTCACCAAACTGGAAAGAACCAAGATGCCCTTCAACGGACGAATGGATAAGGAAGATGTGGTCCATATACACTATGGAGTATGATGCCTCCATCAGAAAGGATAAATACCCAACTTTTGTAGCAACATGGTCGGGACTGGAGGAGATTATGCTGAGTGAAATAGAGAGTCAGTTATCATGTGGTTTCACTTACTTGTAAAGCATAAGGAATAACACGGAGGACATTAGGAGATGAAGAGGAGAAGGCAGTTGGGGGGAAATCGGAGGGGGAGACAAAACATGAGAGACTGTGGACTCTGAGAAACAAACTGAGGGTTTTGGAGGGGAGGGGGATGTGGGCTTGGGTGAGCCTGGTGGTGGGTATTGTGGAGGACACGGATTGCATGGAGCACTGGGTGTGGTGCATACACAATGAACTCTGGAACACTGAAAAGAAATTAAAAAAATAAATAAAAATTAAAAAAATAAAGTCAAACAAAACAAAATAAACAAAAAACCAAAGTAGATCCATGATCTAAATGTAAGACCTAAATCTATAAAACTTTCAGAAGAAGTGTAGGGCAAAACCTCACAACACTGCAGTTAGCAATGATTTCTTGGATAGGACACCAAGAGCACAAGGAACTAGAGAAAAATTAGGCAAACTGAACTTTATGAAAAATAAAACATTCTGTGTATGAAAAGACACTATCCACAGAGTCAAAAGACAACCCTATAGAATGGGAGAAAGTCTTTGCAAATCACAGATGTGATCAGTGATTAGTGTCCGGAATTTTTGAGAACTCCTAATACTCAACAACAAAAACTTGATTCAAAAATAGACAAAGGACTTGAATAGACCTTCCTCTACAGAAGACATTCCAATGGTCACGGAACGCATGAAAAGATGCTCAACATGACTAATTATTAGAGAAAAACAAATCAAAACTGTAAGGATATCACCTAACACTCATTAGGATGGTTAACTCTCTCTCTCTCTCTCTCTCTCTCTCTCTCTCACACACACACACACACACCCCCGAAGTAACAAATTGGAGGATGTGGAGATATTGGAAGTGTTGGTGGGCATGTAACATGGTAGGAGCTCTGTGCACAACAGTACAGTGGTTCCTCAAAAAAACAAAAATAAAATTACAATATGATCTAGCAACTCCACTTCTAGCTATTTAACCCCCAAATTAAAAGCAAGACCTCAAAGAGATATTTATACACCCATCTTCGTTGTTCACTCTAGTGATTACTCACAACAAGTAAAACATGGAAGGGTCCCAGTATCCACCGATGGATGACTGGGTCGTTGGTGTATGGTTCACCTTGAAGGGGATGCACGTTCTGACATGTGCCCCAGCGTGGCTGAACCTTGGGGATGGGAGGCTCAGTGACATTAGCCGTGACAAAAAGACCATATGACATTGAAACCATATGAGATGCTTACACTCTCTAAAAAATCAGAAAGCTAGAAAGTAGGATGGAAGCTGCCAGGGGCTGGGGGAGGAGGGAACAGGGAGTTAGTGCTTAATAGGTACAGAGTTTCCGTTTTTTAAGATGAAAAGAATTTCAGAGGCGGATGGACAAAATAGCAGCTCAACAACATGAACACCACTGAGCTCTACACTTAAAAATGGTTAAGATAATAAATTTTATGTTGCGTGTATTTTACCACCATTTTTAAGAACTAGGGGGTAAAGTTCTTACAGATTACTAGAACTGAGCTCTCATTAGGAGCACAGGGGAGATGATAAGCAGGCAAATGGTCAGTGAGCAAAAAATGCTGAATGCACAAAAATCAAGGACGTGTGGACAGACCAACAGACCAACCATTCCTCCTCCAGGACACTGGCACACGAGAAAGAGGAAACGACCACCAGACTACGCAGTGCCCGCTGTGGAGAGTGCCAGGGTCCCCCTTCACTCTTCGGGGTACCGTCTGACTCCAGGCATGAACGCGTGACACTTCCTGGAGCTCTGGACCCAGACTCTGCCCTTCTAGCAGCAGGGGTCCCCCACAGCTGGACGCCTGCCCCCCATGCTTATTCCAGCCACTGCAATGGGCCACCACGAGGCTGACCCCCCGTGTGGCGGGGAGTGCTGACCTGTCCCAGGTCGGCGGAGAGGACGTGCTGGGAGTCTGCGGAGACTGTCGCTGTATGATATGGCCCAACGCCACACCAATGCCAGCCCTGGGTCGGGCACGGCATCCCGGGACCCTGGCTTCTTTGTAGGTGTGCCCCACCCCAGGCCTCCCCCCACCCCCCATCAGCTTTGCACAAATGTGTGAAAGAAGCCAGAGAAAGGGCTGATCCACTGAAACACGGAAAAGTCAAGCTATTTGTGGTTTTCTTAAAATAATCACAAGAAGGGCGCCTCGGTGGCTCGTAGGTTAAGCATCTGCCTTGGGCTCAGGTCACGATCCCAGAGTCCTGGAATCGAGTCCTGCATCAGGCTCCTTGTTCAGTGGGGAGCCTGCTTCTCCCTCTGCCTGCTGCTCCCTCTGCTTGTGCTCTCTCTGTCAAATAAATAAAAAATCCTAGGGACGCCTGGGTGGCTCAGTTGGTTAAGCAGCTGCCTTCGGCTCAGGTCATGATCCCAGCGTCCTGGGATCAAGTCCCACATCGGGCTCCTTGCTCATCAGGGAGCCTGCTTCTCCCTCTGCCTGTGCTTGCTCTCTCTCTCTCTCTCTCTCTGACAAATAAAAAAAAAAAAAAAAAAATCCTAAAAAAAATAATTACAAGAACTCGGGTTTTTCCCGAGTCATGAAGCATTTTGTGGGCGCAAAGACGGCCTGCCCACACTCTGTGCCTTTGGAGATCCTTAGCGGGCCTGGCAGGTAGAAAGGGCCGGTGGGGTAACCCGGCCCGGCTCCAGAGATGAGGAAGTGCCGCGGTAGGGCTGGGCCACACCCTTCGCCAGGCCCCAGCTCTGCCCCTTCTCTGACCTGCCCCCACCCCAGGGAGCTTGTCTGAAGGCCATCCCCCGCCCACAGCTCCCCGGGAAATACAGAGCTGCCCCCGCCGGCCAGCGACGCAGTCACTCCTGCGTGTGACAGGCACTGCCCACGGCAGGGGCCCGAGCTCTGTCCAGCCGGGGGGGCCCTGCAGCCCAATCCCAACTCTGCACGTTGCCTTCCCTGTGGCTTCCCAGCAGACACCCCTGGCAGCGGCCCCCACCCTGCCGTGGGCTTCTCTGGCCTCCCAGGGAGCTTTCCTCCGCAGAGGGTGGCAGCCTCACGGTGGCCAGAAGGGCTCAGTGGCCCATCAAGTCCTGAGTCCTGCCGCAGGGACCCTCTGGGCCCCTTGTGCCCACCCACTCCAGTCTGGCCCGACAGTCTGCGGGTCACCTAGGCTGGGGGCTCAGGCACACGTCCTGGGCCTGCCCTCCCGTCTCTGGATGGTGCCAGGAAGGAGGACAGCAAGGAGGGCAGACAGTGTCCCTCCTCAGAGCCCCAAATGCCGTCCTACCTCTTGACTGTGTTGAGATGAGCCTGGGATAACACCCAAAGGCCTTTCTTGTTGTTATTAGGATCAGCAGGGACCTCTCCATGGGTGACCCAGCTGCTCCCACCCCAAAGCCATGCTCTGAGGTTGCTGGGCCCCCAGGTTTCTGCTAGACTGAGTGAGGAGGCCTGGAGAGTGTGGGGTCTGGCCTAGCTGGGGAGCCCCCACAGGCCCCATCAGCCTGGCTCCTGTTTCACCCAGATGCTCACCAGACGGCCCCCTGCTTCATCTCCCCCCCCGGCCTAGATTTTGGGGGGTGATGCACGGTGGGCCACTGTCAGCCTCAGAGGAATGGGGGACAGTGGGGTGCCCGCTGATTCCCGGGTGGGGGTAAGGTGGGGGGTGAGCTATCCTCTCCCTACGGTGTCAGAGACCCTCTGTCACCTCAAGAGTGCCTGGGCCTCTGTCCGGGAGGAGGGGGCACTGCCTCCCCTCAGGAGCCCCGGGGAGAGGGGCCAGCACCGCTGGAGACCCTGTGCCCAGTTCCACGTGAAAAGGGCTGGTCGTCCTGTGCGGTGGCTCGGGCTCCTCCGCCCTCTGAACGTGACCTCCCAGGCCCGCGAGGCCACTTGGTGACCTGGGGTGGCGGTGGCGGTGACCGCGAGGGCTCCCCAGCTGTCCCGTAAGACAGCCGGAGCGGCAGAGCCTTCGCACCGAGCCCAGGAACAGGGAGGACCCCTCCCGCCCTGCCCCTGCCCTACCCTGCCCTGCCCGAGAAGGGGCCAAGGAGGGGGCGGCCGGACCGTTATCTCCGCGGCCCTGGTCCCTACGCGGCACATCGGGAGCGGACTCGGGCGCTCTGAGAGGAGCCAGGAGCTGAGACGGGGCCCCCAGGCCGGCGTGTCCCCCCCTTGCGCCCGCCCCCCGCAGGGAGCTCGAGGCCACAGGGAAGACCACCCGCCCGGCCGAAGGAGACCCCCGCGGGGTCACATGTCGGCAGTGCGGGCCGCGGCTCCGGGAGGCTCCGGGCGGCGCTTACCTGACCCCGGAGCGCGCGGGGCGCCCTCGTCGCACACGTCTCGGGGAGCGCAGGGTCCGGGCGGCCGCGACGCGGGCTCCGAGCGGGCAGGAGGAGGGGTCGGCCGCGGGGGCCGCCCACTTTATACCGCGCCCGCCTCCCGCCCCGGCCGCGCCCCGACAGCCGGGACCAGCGGGAGGCGCTGCGGCCCCGCGGATGGCGCGTCGGGGGCAGGGAGGGGGCGAGGGGCCGGGGCGGAAAGTGAGGCGCTGGGGTGGGGCGGAGGGGCGAGGTGCCGGGGATGGGGGGGTGGGATGGAGGGTCGGAAGGGTGGGGCGGGGGGGTGCGGGGGGCGAATGGAGGGGGGGAGGGGTGGGGAGGAGGGGCGGGGTGCAGGGGTGGGAATGGAGGGTCGGAGGGTGGGCGAGTGGGCGGAAGCGGGGGTGGGGTGGATGGGGAGGCAGGGACGGAAGCGATGTGCGGGGAGAGGGAGGGAGGACACCAGGACACGAGGAACTCGGGAGGGATGGTGGAGGGTCGGAGGGGGACACGACCGGGGACTGGACCGGGCGGGACGAGGAGGCTCGGCAAGCGGGGCGCTGCCACCTCTCCGGCCGAAGTCAGCCCTGCGTCCCGCCGCGGGTCCTCGCAGCCCTTGGCGCGCCCTGCCTCTCGGGTCTCCCTGCACCGCATTCCGGCCACTGCTCCTGCCCCACTTCCAGGGAGACCTGACCTGGGATGTTGGGAATCGCTCCCTGCGCCTGGACTGGCGAGCTCAGGCCCCTGGGACTCGACCCTGGGTGGAGCCGCGGGTCCTCCTGACCCTTGCCCAGGCCAACTCTGCCACCCTGCACGTCAGAATGTGCTTCCGGCCCTGGGCTCCCTGCTCCCCTGGGCCTGAGAGGGTCAAGGTCAGTTGGGGACAGGCTGGGAAAGGGCAGGAGGACCAGGACAGTGGGACCCCAGGCGCCATGGGCAGGAGTGAGGGTCTGGAGGTACGGCCAAGGTGCCCACTCCTCACAGGAATCACACAGATGGGCCTGGTGCTGGGCCCTGAGGCCACTGTGATGTCTTTATCTGAGCAGAGCCTTGGAGAGGGTGAGAGGGGGTGGGAGGGACAGAGCTGTGGTGGGGACCCCTGCCCCCCCAACCCGAAGTGGCAGACCCCCAGGACCAGGGTCTTCATGCAGGTGGAGTGCAGGTAGTTCTGGGCAGAGGTCCCTGGGCTCTGGGACAGTGGGGAGGGGTGGCCCCAGCTTAAAAGGAGTAGTTTGGCAAATCTGGTTTAGCCCCCCCCCCCCCTGCAAGGGGAGAGACATCGCAGAGCTTCTCAGTACCTGTGTGTGCCCCGGGGCTGCGCCCTTGGCACGCATGCCTTCCCGTCTTCCCGACCACTTCCCTCTGCACTCTGAGTCTGACGCACCCAGCCCCCATGGTCTGCCCAAGCTATAGGGAGGCCAAGGGCAGGGTTCTAAGGAGGCATCTTTGTGTTTTCAGGGAGCCCAGCCCGAGACCCACAATGTTCAAGCAGAGGGGAGCAACGTCTCCTATGAGGAGGGATAGGCCACCCCAGGCTGCACAACAGGACACCGCTGCTTTCATGTCCAGGGGGCCTGCAAGTTGTGCCCTGTCCCCAGCAAATGACCCGCCGCCTGCTCCTGGCTCCCGGAGCCCCCCTTGGTCTGGCCCACTGCCCTTGCCCACTCTGCTTCCCACGCATCCCCCCCGGTGGCACCAGTCTCTCCACTCGTCCAACATAGTGTTTCTCCTCTGTGCAGCGGGTGCCCTGAGGCAGGGGGCACCAGGAGGGTGTGCGAGCATGTGTCTGTGTGCACTTGTCAGCACCACACCTGGCCGAGGACGGACTGTCTTCCCCCAAGGAGACCTACAGCATTTCCTTGTGCGAAGGGATTCACACCCGGAGTGTCATCACGGCCTCCGTGTTGGAGGGAGGTTCGTGCGGCCAGGTCCTACACGAGTTCTTAGCTAAAGTGTCAGTCACAGTGGGTCCCCAGTGGGTTATCGTAACTCTCAGCGCTGGCCATTGGAGTGACTGGGATCCGGCCTGTGTGGTCGAGGACACGGCAGTGGGGAAATCCAGGGGGAACTTGGACGCTGCCCCTGCCACCGCCCAGAGAGCAAACCACAGACTGTATCAGGTCCCTGGAGGTCGAGACCTGGAGGATGTAGGGGTGGTGGGCCTCATGAGGCCGGAGGCCGACAGGTCCTGAAGAGAGTCTATAGACCACTGAGGCTTAACCAAGCCCCACCTCCCCGGCTGGGCTGGGCTTGGAATTCAGTGATAGCAGATTAATAAGGCCAATAATCTCCACCCCGATTAGGAGGACAGGCAGGAACAGCTTGTGTTCATGTGGAAGGGGTGATGACACACACCTGTGGTTTGGGCTCAGCCACGTTACCCCACCCTCTGTCCTCATGTGTCTGGGAGGCTGGAGTGCCTGGACAGCCCCAGGACGGGACATCACGCTGACGGAGCAGGTCTAGGGAGAGGAGGCTCAAGTGCGGGAGGGAGGCCTCGAGACACATGCTCCAGAGGCAGTTCATGAGCCCTGGTAAAACCCAGAGGTCTGGACTTTGGGAAGTTTTTAGGGGTCCAGTGGTCAAGGGCATGCTGGGACAGCCCCCTGAAATGAAAAGACAGATTGCCTCATATTGTATCTCCTGCCCCAAAGAAGAAAACAGGCCTGGCAGGGCTGCTGGGTTCTGAAGGCCGTACATTACCCTCTCAGGAGTACTGCTCTGACCCACATCTCAGGTGACATGGAGGCAGCCAGCTTTGACACTGGGGGCGGGGTGGGGAGCTTAGGAGCAGGAAATGTCTATGCAGCAGGCCCAGGCTGGGTGCAGGCAGCCCTGTTGGCACCACGTGGTACTGGAAATGCCTGTGAGGGAAAAGACGCCCTGCGGAGGCCCTCTGGGGCCTTGCTAGAACATGGCCTGCCTTCTGTGCCGGGTCCTTCCGTAGCGGCTGTCAGCCAGGGCGCCCGCCATATTGAGTTCCTGGTTGCCCCCTAGGTGGTAATGATAGCCGTAATGACAATAGCGTCACGCCTCCCGACCAGCGTGTCACAGGCTAGACATTGCCTGTGCGGCTCAGGAACCCCCCATTGCCCTCAACCGTAGAGGAAACGGGCCCGAGAGCTGCAGATCCCTTCCCAGGACCACACAGCCCGCTGGCAGAGGGGCAGGCCCCGGGGGAGGACTCGCCCTCTGTCTTTGAGTCTGCGAGTGGGTCCCGGCAGGGCCTCTGAAATGCAGCCTCCACAGGGCCCTGTGGTTCTGTCGAGAATCACAAGGGGACTGCGATGCTGGGAGGTGCCGCCTGGGCTCAAGCCGTGGTCCGTCCCCCCATGAAAACCAGTAGGGCCTCCTGGCTGTGGCCTTATTGAGACGGCTCTGCAGGGTGGGAATGCTGGTCTTTATGCCTCTGGGGCCTGAGGAGCCCTCCCCGTGTCTGCCACAGATTTGCTTTCCTTGATCTGCTGACTCTGGAGCTGCAGGTAGGCTCGGGCAGCTCCCCCCTCCCGGGCCCCTCAGGCCGTCCTTCCCACGCCTTCCCCGGGGAGAGCTCTGCCCACCGCCACACCAGCGCCCACACTGTCCCCTCGGTCCAGCCCTGGTGTTCCTGCGGGCCGAGGTGGGGTAGCTCCGAGGAGCAGGGGTATGGACACTTGGCTCACCCTGCCCTGCTGGGCGTCCTGACTCGAGGGCAGCCGCTTTCCCCGGTGAGGCGTGCGAAGCTTCCCGCCCACACCTGACCTGACTGGCCCCTGTGGGTGAGAGTCTCCCATGGGACACGGGGGCCTCGCAGGGGAGACGAGGTCAGGGGAAGAGCTGCTGGCCCAGGAAGGGGCTTGTTTCCTCTGCCACCTCCAACTGTAAAAAAGTTTCATGTAAACTCCATGAAACTTGTTTACAAAACGTCTCAAAATATTTATACCTCCCCGAAAGCTCTTGTCTCCAGCTGTCTGTCGCTGAATGGAAAGGGTCCCCAGAGCGTCACACACCTCTGTCCCAGCTGGCACAGGAGGGCCACACCGACACGCTCCAGGGGCTGGCCCTCCTCGGAGTGAGAGCACGGGGCAGCCCTACCTCGGGAGGCAGGGTCCCCACCCCGCAGGTCACAGTGAAACCGTGCCTGTGGGCACTTTCCTGGGAAGAGGCTGTGGGGGGGGATCTCTGGATTCTCCAAGGTACGCGGGGTTCCAGAAGTGTCACACATTTTCAGTGACCTGGGACACAACACACACACAGATCACACTGTTGGATGTTCCTGTGGTGGTTTCAGAGGTTGGGGCTGTCCTCCTCCTCCTTGTGACCCCCGCCCCCACTCTGTTATGGGTTTCTCCGTAAAGAACCATCCCTACATTCAGTGGGTCAGACAAAGACCGTCTCCTTGGCTCGTTTTTGGCACTTGGGGCTGAGCTTCTCTGAGTGGGTGCCCCGAGCTCATTCAGGGGGCACTGGTCCACAGAAGGGTCGCAGAGGGGGTGATCTGGGACGGCATTCTTGTCTACAGACCTCACGGGGCTGGCTCCCGGTTGGGCTGTGCTGTGGTGTGGGGAGGCTCAGCCCCGCTGGTGTGGAGGCAACATCCATCAGACTGAGAACCGAAGCGCACGGGCTCTCGAGGTCTGGGCTCAGGAGGGACGCCATTGCTTGGCCACAGCTGAGGGTCGAAGCAAGACGAAGGTCAACCGCGACTCAGGGAACGTTGACCTAGACTCTAGCTCTCGATGGAATGAGCTGCGGGGTCACGGGACCACCGCCCATCCACCCCGCTGCCTCCGCAGCCCCTGCCATCTCCCACTGCCCCGCCCACCAGCTTCCCCTCTCCTCCTCTCCCCTTCCTCTCCCCAGGCAGGCAGTGGCCGTTGCGGGGGCCTGGATCTTAGGAAGATCTAGTCTCTGTCCTCAGAGGTCTTGTGGTGCAGATGAAGGTAAAAGGCGTATTCGTGATGGATAAGTAGTGGTGTGGGAAAGGCGGTAAGCCTGTCGTTGCGCTCACACTCGCAAGCCCTCGAGGGAGACCTGTGGGCAGAGGTCCCGGTGTCTGG